TCTCTCTCTCTCTCTCTCTCTCTCCCCTCTCTCTCCATCCCCCTTGTCTCTCACTTGCACTCTCTCTCTCAATCTCCCCTCTCACTCTCTCAATCTCTCCTCTCTTGCTATCCTTCTCACCTATTCATAAACATTCACTATCTAGCAAGTAAACACATATCAAGGAAAGACAATGCTCTGTTCTGATCCCTCAGGATTTCTCAACGAAGCTTCATTTCAGAAAACCCTGGGCGCCAAACTCATCTGGAAAACGAGTGTTAACAAGAAACACAAGTCTTAATTCACCCCAACATTTTACCCTGGGACAACAACAAACATTCATACAGTCAACAATTTGTCCAGGCGCGTCGGTAAAAAGCCTCTGTGATGCCCTTTAATTACCGGCAAAATCCTTCATTCATTCCGAAATGTCGTGCAATTAGCGACTACCATCCACCATGATGGAATAATGGCTTCATTGGTCGCCAGGGTGACGAGAAGCAGGGGAGACCATTCAAAGTGTAAGAGGTCTTTATTCCGGTCTGTGGACATGCTGATTATCGCGCATACTCCCGGCCGTATGCAGAACCGATCCGGACCCATTAGAGCAGTTTTTACCTTAGCTCCTGTCGCATTTATGTGCTCACCCTGCCTGCCCATGGATTTGTTCTATCATTGAGCGTCTCCCTGTCTTCCCCAAGCTGTTCGATCGCTCGACCATTGTCTTCACAGACACAAAACACCACAGGGACATTTGTTCAAAGGTTTAAAGGTACACTATGACCTGTCACAAGACAGTGTTGTAGAAGTATTACTTTTTAAATAATCGGACTGAAATCCTCGACACTTTAAATAACGTTAAAACAACAACTCAACAACAAAAATCGAAACAACAACAACGACAACAACAACAACAACAACCGAAAGGTCCACAATAAAAAAAGGAAAGATTATGGTGTACCACATTTTAGTCAACCCCGCACAATGTCTCCAAACCTCTCTCTTTCTCTCTCTCACTCTCTCTCTTTCTTTCTTTCTCTCTCTCTCTCTCTCTCTCTCTCTCTCTCTCTCTCTCTCTCTTTCTCTCTCTTTCTCTCTCTCTCTCACTCTCTCTCTCATATTATCCCTCCCCTCCCACGCTAGTGCTTCCTTCTTTTACATGTAAATCTGCTCCAACCTCTGCCTATGTCTCTAAGACAATCCCTTCATTGCTCCACCTCCCCCAAACTCCCCTCCGCTGTGCTCCAGAATGGCGACCTTCCCGTCTGCTCGCCTCATAAAAGTATCATATCAACAGCCACGAAACAAAAGTGGACGTAAAGTTAAAAAAACAAAACATGGAACAGTAAAGATAAGAAAAAAACCATCACTCACCCCTATGCCTGTTTGTGGTCTTATCAAACATCAACATTCCATCCTCGATCTGAAAAAGAAAAAAAAAAGCATTCAGTAAGTCAAAGGTAAAAAGTATTTTCCATTACTATGGAAACACATGAGGACAAAAATAAACCAAGATGCAAAAAGCAGGAGGAAAAGTCACACTCTTTTCTGTCTAACGTAAGATTGCAAGATAGCCTAAATACACTAAAGGGTGGAAAATGCAAAACAAACGTGCACACATTCTCTGAATCTGAAGCAGAAATACCTGTTTCAAAAACGAAAAAAAAAGAAAAAAGGAAAATAACGAGACAACAGGAGCGGTGGGGGAATTCCTAGTACTGGATTAGCACAAAAAATGAAAAGAAAATGGGAATTTTCAACATAAATTCCACAGAAAGGTAAAAACAAATATCAATGTTGACGGTAACGGAGAAAACATGAGAACATACTACAGAGGTGATTTTAAGAAGAAAGGTGGGAAATGAGGTTTTCCCTTATGTAAGATCTTCTTAAAACTAAAGTTGACGTGTTAATGTTTGAACCACAGCTTGTAACTCATCTAAAGGTTTAATATTTCACATGTGTTTTAATTTTAGCTTCTTAAGGAAAACGTGTTTACTCACTATGATGAATACGGCGAGAGAAGGAACCCCCCCCCCCACACACACACACACACACACAAACACACGCAAAATATATTTTAAAAAAACAGAATTGTATTAGGTTGAGACGGAACCGTTAAGAC